TGGGGCTGGGACCAAGAGAACATGTAGGCCAGGATGAATTACAGCAGTTGGATATGCTGAATGTTAAAGACAGAGTAAAACAACTGAAGCTAAATCATGTTTATAAAATTGCTCACAGTGTCCAGAATATCTTGCTGTCAATTTTGTCAAGGTTGGGAACCGCAGCAATCATAGTACTAGGGGGAGAGAGCACAACTTTGTAGTACCCACAGTCAGTGGCCAGGCTTCAAACACCTTTTATTGTACAGCAATAAAGGAATGGAACAGACTACCCACAAATGTCAAGGCCAGTCATAGCTTGAACCAGTTCAAGAAGACTGCCAAAAAGTGTCTGATGAATGAAGCAACAGAAAGGGAGGGGAATGATTTTCTATTTTTTTAGCTAAAATACGTGTAAATTTTACCTTATCCCTAGTAATGACCCTCGTATTGTAGATAGTCGTAATGACCCTCGGGTAGTAGATAGTCTTAATGACCCTCGTATTGTAGATAGTCTTAATGACCCTCGTGTAGTAGATAGTCTTTTTAGTATGATAATAAGATGTTATCTTCATTATAGAATAATAAGAAAATATTATAACCTTTATATTATAATAATAAGGTAAAAGGACCCCAATGGAAATAAGTCACTCTGTCTGACTTTTTTGGGTTATCCTAGGTTCTCTACACATATGCTGCTATGTATGATAATTCTATGTAACTGTATTGTGTATACCTGAATAAATTTACTTACTTACTTACTTACTTACCTTTCTTTTACTCTCCATATACTCTGCTCTTCTTATAACACTTCTGCTTTGTAAAAACCTCTCATAAGCTACCTTTTTCTCTTTTATCACACCCTTTACTTCATCATTCCACCAATCACTTCTCTTTCTGCCTGCTCCCACCCTCCTATAACCACAAACTTCTGCCCCACATTCTAATACTGCATTTTTAAAACTATTCCAACCCTCTTCAACCCCCCCCACTACTCATCTTTGCACTAGCCCACCTTTCTGCCAATAGTCGCTTATATCTCACCCGAACTTCCTCCTCCCTTAGTTTATACACTTTCACCTCCCTCTTACTTGTTGTTGCCACCTTCCTCTTTTCCCATCTACCTCTTACTCTAACTGTAGCTACAACTAAATAATGATCCGATATATCAGTTGCCCCTCTATAAACATGTACATCCTGGAGCCTACCCATCAACCTTTTATCCACCAATACATAATCTAATAAACTACTTTCATTACGTGCTACATCATACCTTGTATATTTATTTATCCTCTTTTTTCATAAAATATGTATTACTTATTACCAAATTTCTTTCTACACATAGCTCAATTAAAGGCTCCCCATTTACCTTTACCCCTGGCACCCCAAATTTACCTACTACTACCCTCCATAACATTTTTACCCACTTTAGCATTGAAATCCCCAACCACCATTACTCTCACACTTGATTCAAAACTCCCCACGCATTCACTCAACATTTCCCAAAATCTCTCTCTCTCCTCTACACTTCTCTCTTCTCCAGGTGCATACACGCTTATTATAACCCACTTTTCACATCCAATCTTTATTTTACTCCACATAATCCTTGAATTAATACATTTATAGTCCCTCTTTTCCTGCCATAGCTTATCCTTCAACATTATTGCTACTCCTTCTTTAGCTCTAACTCTATTTGAAACCCCTGACCTAATCCCATTTATTCCTCTCCACTGAAACTCTCCCACCCCCTTCAGCTTTGTTTCACTTAAAGCCAGGACATCCAGCTTCTTCTCATTCATAACATCCACAATCATCTCTTTCTTATCATCTGCACAACATCCACGCACATTCAGACTTCCCACTTTGACAATTTTCTTCTTCTTATTCTTTTTAGTAATCTTTACAGGAAAAGGGGTTACTAGCCCATTGTTCCCGGCATTTTAGTTGACTTTTACAACACGCATGGCTTACGGAGGAAAGATTCTTATTCCACTTCCCCATGGATATAAAAGGAAAATTAATAAGACCAAGAACTATTAAGATAAAATCAAAGAAAACTCAGATTAGTGTGTATAAATAAATGTGTACATGTATGTGTAGTGTGACCTAAGTGTAAGTAGAAGTAGCAAGACATGCCTGTAATCTTGCATATTTATGAGACAGACAAAAGACATCAGCAATCCTACCATCATGTAAAACAATCACAGGCTTTCGTTTTACACTCACTTGGCAGGACGGTAGTACCTCCCTGGGTGGTTGCTGTCTACCAACCTACTACCTATAATTCAATTCTATGATTATTATTATTATTATTATTTCTGAACATTGGTGCCTTGTGGAAATCTGCAGTGTGTGAAGTGAAGAACTTACGGGAAAAAAGGGTACGTGAAAAATAAGTCATCTGAATTGTTATGCCTGTGCACTTCTGGAAAGACAGCTGAATGAATTGACTGTAAATATGTTTTCATTTTTTGTGTCATCCCTGTCTTAGTGGAAGACAGCCAGTGTTAAAAAAATATTCTTGTCATTGCTTGTTGACATGGAATTGTGTAGAACATTAAACATGCTCTGTTGTGAAGACTTTCTTTCCTTCTCGCACAGTTTTATAGCAGGATAGGACTTTGTGGCTTATTATGTGAGCATTAAGCAGGACCCCTGATCTTGCTTTCTGCTCAATCCATATGTTTTGTATCTTTTCTGTCTTATTTAGCTGTAATGACTTCATTGACATTATTTTTGCCAGGGCACAGTTTGCACTATTCACAGAACAAACTCTTTTTGTTTTCTCATGGTCTTTAGTTGTGTAGATGGTGGATTCCTTCAGAACAGTGTGGACAGTCTGAATCACACATGAACCACCTCATGGTATGTCTAAAATTTCCACTTACATCAACATCATCAGAGTTTCATGTTTATCTTCTTTCTTTGAATTTTTGTTTATCTTTTCTCTTTGCCATGGTTAATATCCAGAGACAAGATAGGGTGATGAAAAGATCCCAAATCCTCTGAAAAACACAGAATAAGGCATGCAATGCCCTTAGAAAGCAACTGCAAGCTGCATGGGGTGATAGTGGGGAAAGGGAAGAGCTGGGCCTCTTCAAAACTTGACCCTTAAGACCAACTTGGGATAGCATGGAAATTTTAGTGCAAGTAACTTAATGAGTACATGCTATGTATAATTTTACAATTGCATTTGCACAAAACGGCACTACACAGTGTAACTTTGTAAGTGAGTTTATGCATACCTGTTAATGGTTCTAGGGATTATCACTTATGACTCGGGCTAGGCCTCCTAAATTGTAAGGTAAATATTACATGACTAACAAGTATAGTACTGTACTGGGAAATGCACAGAAAAGATCACCATCTTACTAGAATGCAACATGTTTACCAAACTTCTGTTTCACACTTGCATGACAGGATGGCAGTACCTTCATTTTTTTTTTAATACATCGACCATCTTCCACCAAGGTAGGGAGATGACTCAGATGCCCCTCCAAACTGCAGCATTTCCTACTTCAGAGTGCAGGCACTGTACTTCCCACCTCCAGGACTCAAGTCTGGCTAACCAGTTCTTCTTTTTAATTTTAGTATAAACAAAGGAAAATAGGTTACTAGCCCCTTGCTCCCAGAAATTTAGTCACCTTTTATGACACACATGGCTTATGGAAGAAGGAGTCTTTTCCACTTCCCCATAGACATAAAAGGAAATAAAGTAAGTACAAGAACTAATAAGAAAATAGAAGAAAACTCAGACGGGTGTGTATACACATACATGTACATGCATGTGTAATATGAACTAAGTGCAAGCAGAAGTAGCAAGATGTACTCATCATCTTGTATCTTTATGAGACAGAAAGAAAAGACACCAGCAATCCTACCACTGTCTAAAACAATTACAGATTTCTGTATCACACTCATTTGGCAAGACAATAGTATGTACCTTCCTGCATAGTTGTTTTCCTTTCTAATAAGCTACTACCTATTTATAGGTGATCATGTGAACAAATGCTACCAAATATCTATGATGGCAAAAGGAGTTTTCTAAGATGTGATGTGGGATAACAGTGGGAATTATGACAATCTCAGGACTCAGCAATTTCTGAAAAAAGTTCTTTAATGCTGGTGGCACACTTAAAACTTATTTCTCTTCACTCCCACTGTGTCAGCAGTATGTGGCCTATTGAGTCTTCCATCCTCAAAATGGTGTGAAATACAAATTTCATTCCATGTGTTTTCAACAAGTCGGCCATCTCCCACCAAGGCAGGGTGACCCAAAAAGAAAGAAAATCTCCAAAAAGAAAATACTTTCATCATCATTCAACACTTTCACCTCACCCATACATAATCAGTGTCTTTGCAGAGGCACTCAGATACGACAGTTTAGAAGTCCCTCCAAATTGTCAATATCCCAGACCCCTCCTTTAAAGTGCAGGCATTGTACTTCCCATTTCCAGGACTCAAGTCTGACTAAATCTATAATAACCAGTTTCCTTGAATCCCTTCACAAAATATTACCCTGCTCACACTCTAACAGCTCGTCAAGTCCCAAAAACCATTCATCTCCATTTACTCCTATCTAATGTGCTCACACATGCTTGCTGGAAGTCCAAGCCCCTTCCCCACAAAACCTCCTTTACCCCCTCCCTCCAACCTTTTCGAGGATGACCCCTGCCCCTCCTCATCCAGACAAATAATGCTGGAGGATGCTAATATATTAATAGTAATCTGAAATTCTTCACTCTTTCAAGAGGAGATTTGAAAAATAATCAAAAGGAATGGGTTACAAAATAAGCTAGCAAAGGTTATTAAATTAAATATAAAAATGGCAGATGGAATTCATTTTATGTGAAGCTTAAAAAACCTGCTGCAACTATTTGTAGATGAGAATGATGCAAATTTAAAAATAAAATAATGTAAATGGATAAGAGAAGTTGTTCTTCAGAAATTCAACCTGGATATAAGTGCATGATAATAAAAATTTGAGAAAATAAGTGTTGTAAGCAATTTTCTGAACTTACACCACTTCCATCAACAAAGGGTGTCTGCAAAATCTTCAAGTGTGTTTTGTTTTTTCCTGCATGTTTCCTCATTCCTCGTCTTTCTGTATTATAGACCATCATAATTTCCTGTGAGGTAGGAGTCCCTGCTTTGCTGCTTTGATTTGATGGTGGCTTCTCATTAATAGGTTGGGACACAGGAGAACTCTGATTGACAAAAGTGGAACCTGGCGACTTATCTTGGCTGATCCCTACTAATGGCCGAGGAAGGCTTTTATTTATTGAAGAGGTTACAGGAGATTTATCCTGGCTGGATAAAGTTGGCCGTGAATCTGTGGAAAGCGTGTTTAGGTCCAAAAGTTTACGCTTCAGTTCTGGACTACTGTTGTGGCTTGAGTCTGGTGTTGATCTGCCACTTCCACTAATGTCACCTGAAAGAATGTCTGTTTTATTATATGTAAATACAGTAAAAGCATAATACATATAAGCTAAGTGAATGTTGTTTAAACATGAGAAATACAACTACTATATCTAAATACAGGAAATAAAGAGGGAAATGCAATCACTATACAACGTCATCTACAGTACACAAACATACATAAATGCTACATTAACAAACTAAACATTATACCAACATACCACAATGCAAAATGGTTAAGTAGCTATATATAACAAGACTGTGCATGTTTACCATCTCGTGTCGAGCTTATACGATTCCTACTGGTGCGCTGCAGGACAGGTGAGCCTGGCAGAGAGCGGTGCTTAGCTGGCCGGCCTCCGTTGAACGTTCCCATTATCCCAGCAAGCAAGTGAGAGGGGCTAACAGCACGTGATCCTCCAGGCACACCATCATCATCAATACCGCCACTGTTGCTACCTAATGAAGCTCCTGAACCAACACTACCAGCACAGGAGTTACCAGCATGATCAATGCCTTTACTACCACCACCAATACCACGACTACTGCTACCAGTATTGCTACTACCGCCACCAAGAGAGGAAGAGGCAGTAGTTCCAATATTGCTGCTACCTCCTCTACAGCCACCACTTTGGCTACTTCTACCCATAACACTACTACAAGACATGGCCCCTCCACCACGAGCAATGCCAGCATCACTGGTCCCAATGCAACCTAGGGTACCACTACTTGAGGTGTCTACCCAGGCACTAGAAGACTTTTCTCCACTATAACTACTGTTGGCAGTGCAAGTTGCGACAATAGACTGGCCACTGGAAGCTATATGGAGTCTACCTGAGGTATCCTCCCCGACAACCGGTGAAGCACCATCTGAACCAACGGCTCTTTGCTCAGCTACCACCTGAGAAAGTTAGTCAAGTGTTAGTGATACAAACAAAAAGTGTAAGTCTACAGACAGCACAGATTTAATTAATTTTCAAGAAATGACAATACGTATATACGAGAAATAAATATTAATGGGTAAAATGTTAAAAAATTGGGATAAGATTTAAGCAAATAATTAATTAATAAAAGGAGACTGAAGATTAAGTCAAAAGATAATAAAAATTTACAGTATTTTGAGAAAAAAAAAAAAAAAAGAAAAAAAGAAAATACAAACAAATTTTGTACAGAAAAAAAAAAATTAAAGGCCAGTAAGAGCAGGAAGACTCATGAACATTAGAAGACTTGTATGAGTTTACTTTGTTAGAAAAGGGAGCCCAAAGCTTGTTGAGAATCTCTTAACCAAAGTATCTATGTGATCACACCCATTCATTTACATGCCATTACTTGACAGAATGAATTACATACAGTGGACCCCCGCTTAACGATCACCTCCCAATGAGACCAATTATGTAAGTGTATTTATGAACATCAAAATGGTATACAATACCGACAGGTTGTTAGGTAAGACACATATGCAACAGTTAGACAACTTTATTCCGAAACGTTTCGCCTACACAGTAGGCTTCTTCAGTCGAATACAGAAAGTAGGCAGGAACAGTAAATTGTAAGAATAAATCAAGCCATAACGTCAGGTAGATTGAGGTTGTCAGTCCTCGGCCTGAGTTATTTTTAGATCCATAGTCAGGAACTTTGAAGATCAAGCGTGTTGGAGATACCTTCACTCTTACTGTCCTAGTACTTTATTGCTGAAACCCTCTGTTAGGCGAAACGTTGCATAAGTTGTCATATGAATACTGTGGACCCCACCTTGACGATTATCCCATTTTGATCGATTATTGTCAGACAGCAACACAAACTTGGTACAGAAACCACGTTGCTAAGTTTTACACATGCAAAGTTGACACTGAATGACCTAACGTTCGCTACATTCTACTTCTACAGCTACTCTGCACCTCCATTACGAAAGTAGCAGGATCCAGTAGAGATCGTGAATTGTGTATCAGTCTCACCTGTAGTTCGTAGAATTGAGGCTTGTCAGTCCCTGGCCTGGAGAAGTTCTGTCAACTCAAACTACACTAAGGATAAGGACTGGGATGATTACATCGTCTTCACATCTCTACTGTTCTGCCTACTTTCTGTATTCGACTGAAGAAGCCTACTGTAGGCGAACGTTTCGGAATAAAGTTGTCTAACTGTTGCATATGTGTCTTACCTAACAACCTGTCGGTATTGTATACCATTTTGATGTTCATCTTGTCAGACACTGCAACACATGGCATCTTGGTACAGAAAACACCTTGGACAAGCTTTTCAAGTGAGAAGTGTTGGATCTGAGAGGGACATGACCTCTCAGTGGCTACATTCTCACTACTACTATACTACTACTACTCTGCACCTCTCCTTCCGACAGTATTTAAGTCTCCGCACTGTCGCTTGATCTTCAGATAGTTCCTGACTATGGAACTGAACTTCTCCAGGCCGAGGGACTGACAACCTCAAATTCTACGACTACAAGGGTGATGGACTGATTACATCGTTTTCACATCTCTACTGTTCCTGCCTACTTTCTGTATTCGACTGAAGAAGCCTACTGTATAGGCGAAACGTTTCGGAATAAAGTTGTCTAACTGTTGCATATGTGTCTTACCTAACAAGTGTATTTATGTAAGTGCGTTTGTACGTGTATGTTTGGGGGTCTGAAATGGACTAATCTACTTCACAATATTCCTTATGGGAACAAATTCGGTCAGTACTGGCACCTGAACATACTTCTGGAATGAAAAGATATCGTTAACCGGGGGTCCACTGTACACACAAATCAACTATGCTGCATCAATACCAAATTCGTCACATATATCCTTCCTCACTATGATTTTTCATTTTATATTCAGTGTTTTTATTTTCAACTGCTGCCAAATACAGCATACTCCCTAGGAAGGCCACTTGTGATGATGCTGAGCGAGAATTAATGTATAATGTAGTAAATACTTTAAAACTCATAATTCCTCATTGCTCAAATTCTAAAACTGTCCTCCTTTACAGTTGTTCAATGAATTTTACAAGAAATGTATCTTGGTTTCTTGCCTTGAATGTGTCAGTATTGTGTTAAAAGTTATACAGCAACCAGTCATTGTTTAATGTAAATATATTTGATAACTCAGCTCCATCAAACATTACTGACTCAGTAACAGTTAATGATTTGAAAGAATTATGTTTGGGTGCTTGTAATGAGATATTGCAACATATACGTACAGTGGAACCTTGACTTATGAGTGTCCCAACATGTGAAATTTTCGAGATACGAGCTGTTGCTCGGTCGATTTTTTGCTCTGAGTTACGAGCCAACAACCAAGTACACGTAATGAGGGAGCTTCCCCACTTCTTTCTTTTATTTATTTATTTATTTAGTAATTTTAGCATACATACAGAGGTACAAAAAAATACAGGTAAGAGCAGCATGCCAAAACCACTTATATGCATAGCATTACGGGCTGGCTTAAAATTAACTTAAGATTAACTAAGCAATGATGAAATCAGTGATAAAACATTATTGTAAACAGATAACTATAAAGCACAAATGAGTATTACAAAGACAGGTCATATGGTTGCATGCATTGCTGTACATTCAGTCGAATGGAGTATTCTGTTAGGTAGTGCATTTAAAAAAATAACAAAGTTAGATTGGGTCCTAGGTTTAACATTTATGTGATATAATTGTGAGAAACATTTAAGATATACAATTTATAAGGTTCAGTTATTCAGTATTTATTTGGTTTTGAGTGAGTAAGTGATCTTTGAGAAGAGACTTGAATTTATAAACAGGTAGTGTTTCTTTTATATTTACAGGTAATGAATTCCAGATTTTAGGGCCTTTTATGTGCATTGAGTTTTTGCATAGCGTGAGATGGACACGAGGAACATCAAAGAGTGATCTGTGCCTTGTGTTATGGTCATGTGTTCTGTTGAGGTTGGCAAGGAGATGTTTGAGGGGAGGGTTAATATCAGAGTTAAGTGTTCTATGTATGTAATAGGTGCAGTAATAAGTATGGATGTTTTGTATGGTGAGTAGCTTGAGTGTTTTGAATATTGGTGGAGTGTGCTGCCTGTAGTGAGAATTTGTTATCATTCAACCCAAAACCTGCACACCTCCCTTGTTTATCTATGATTTCATGCTTTAATTCCATGGAAATCATCCTCTTTGTCTTATCAGCACTGTCCTATACACTGACTTTCTTAGGGCCATGGTTAGAAAAAAGAAATTTAGCCAAATGACTGTAAAAAATGTAAGCACAGCATGAGAGAAATGCTCCCACAGCAAAGTAAACAGTGCACTGAGTTGGAGGCGTTCTGAAGATCTCGTTATTATTATTATTATTTTTAATAATAATAATATTATTATCATTAATTTAGAGAACTGGAGCACAGATCCAATTCCTTACATCAAGAGGCCCTCACCAACATCAAGGAACCTTGATGCTGGTGAGGGGCTCTTGATCTAAGGAATTGGATCTGTGCTCTAGTTCCCTAAATTAATAATAATAATACTAAAAGGCGACTAAAATGCCAGGAGCAAGGGGCTAGTAACCCCTTCTCCCGCCTCGGTGGGATACAGCCAGTGTGTTGAAGGAAAGAATAATAATAATACATGTAGTAATAATACATTACCCGAAATAATAATACAACAAATTGTATCAGTTAAGTTCAGCGATAAAGTGTAACATTAAGAGTGTAACAAGTAAGTCAAGCAATTAAGCGACGGAAAAAGGATGAAATAAAATTAGCTCCTCCAATGCTGTTGGAAGTTTATAGGGCCACTGACATCATATGCCACACTGCCTCTCCAACCCTGAACCTCTGCCACCATCTCTGCTCCAAGTGTGTAAGTATATGCTTTATATAAACAGTATATTTCGTTACTTTCTCTACAGTATTATGTTTTATTATGTTTTTATACAATATTTCTTATTTATAAATACGTACATTGTTTCACTGTTTTCCTTAGGAAACTAGTGATTTATTGGAGTTAGCCTAACAAATGCATTGTTTTCTCTTATAATAAGAGCATGGGAAGATACTATAGTCAGTGGGAGAGAAAATGGCAGACGTTGCCACCGCTGTTGCCTCCACCATCACTCGCCATATTGTGGCCTATTTTATTCATTCAAGAGTATATATCATGCTTATGTGTTAATTATACTGTTTATTATGTCATATTAGATGAATTTTGTTAGATAAATAAGCCATAGAGTTGATATTAGCATCATATTGAAGTATTTTGTCCTGCCTCCAGAGAGCAGGAATTCCGTTGAAACGGATAAATGGCATTTCAGTTAATTTAAATGAGGAAAACTGATTTGATATACGAGCAAATTGAGTTACAAGCTAGGTCACGGAATGGATTAAACTTGTAAGTCGAGGTTCCACTGTACTTTAATCATGATTTTATTTGCATAAAGTTAGCAGAGGATTTATGATCACTAATTACTAGCAGATATTTTTAAGTGTATTTGCCATTTGTGAAGTACGTACAATAGATTAACAAGAGAGAGAATCTAGGAAATACATTTGATGATAGTACCTGGATGCTCCACTCACTGCATGAGGAGAAAGCATAGGAATATTAAACTTAAGGCAAGCATCAGTCAAAGCGGAAGCAACTAGACTAGAGAGGAAGCTAAAACATATAATGAAGCAGCGCACATATAGACTAGAGGAAGAACAAAAATTAGAGAGAACAAGAGCTAGTAATTATGGTTATGCAAATACAAACACAGGCACAGTTTAACCTTAGCAACACAATCAAACTTCTCTCTAAATTTGCAAGAGAATCAAGACTATTTCTTGTCCTTGATGTCTCTATAGCTAGAACCTAAGTGTTAGGTAAATAAAAAAAGATATACTAAACAAAGCTAACAAAAACCATGGTAAGGCCAATGATGCTGTCCTGTTGGCCTA